TGACGTCATGACGTCACGGGGGGACGGGGTGACGTCAGCCGGGGGAGCGCACACACACCCCCGGGGGCTGGGTGCTGGGGGGCGGGGGAGGGTGGTCCTGGTGCCGGGGCAGTTGTTGCCCCGCTCTGGGGAAAAGATGGGGTGAGCGCGGTCCTGCCGTGGGGCAGGCGTGGGGTGAGCATGGTCCTGCTGTGGGGCAGGCGTGGGGTGAGCGCGGTCCTGCCGTGGGGGCAGGAGCGGGGCTGAGCACGGCCCTGCTGCGGGGTGGGTGTGGGGATGAGCATGGCCTCGCTATGGGGCAGGTGAGGGGGCGAGCATGGCCGTGCCGCGGGGCAGGGTGGCCCTGTCCGGTTGGACGTGGCACTGCGGGGCAAGCGAGCCACAGTGGGGTGAGAGGGGCTTTGCCGCCTGGCATGGCTGCCCCACGGCCTCCCGGGGCTGCAGCTGCTCCCGGAGGGGGCAAAGGACAGTGCTTGGGGCTGACGGGTGAGCCGCCCCTGGGGCAGCCTCACAGCTGTCCTCTTCCCGCGGGGACCCTAGCAGGGTCTGGCAGCACCTGCAGGCCATGGGGTGGCCAACAGGGCTGGGAGCCCCGGGTGCTCTCCAGCCCCACAGCGCCGCGGGGACACGTGCAGCTCTGCGCGGCGGCTCTGCGGCCCCACGTAAATACTCATTAGCGGGTGCCGGCGGCGGGGACGCCGAGCTAGGATGCCTGGGTCCACCCTGCGCAGGGCTGACACTTTGAAGTGGCGTGCCAGCAGCACAGGCGGGCTGCACCCCCAGCCTGGCCCTGCCCTCCTGCCCCCAATCCCGGGGTGTCCCCGTGGGCGCCCAGCCTGCCCCGCCACCCCGGTGCCGGGCTGGCGGCTGCTGGCGCTCTGCCTTGGGGACGCCTCTCTGATCTGGGGTGCCAGGAGGGGACACCCAGCCCTGGGATATCTTCGTGGTGGGTTCACCCATCCCTGTGGCCCCAGGGATGGGGACGAGGCCTGGGGCAGGGGGGTGGCCGGTGGCAGTGCCGGTGTCCCCGGAGCAGGGCTGGGGCTGTGGTGAGCTCAGCTGTGCTTAGCCGGCACAGCCCAGCTCAGCACCAGCTGAGCTGATGCAACTCTGTGCAACTGTCTGTGCGTGTGTCAGCCGGTGTTTCGGAGTGGGCTGGTGGGCGGTGGGACGCCGGGGCGGGTGGAAGGGTCCCCCCCAGCCACAGTGCCGCTCAGCCCAGCTGCTGTCGTGCAGGATGAGCCCAGCGAGTGGGAGAAGACAGAGCTGGACCAGGCGCAGGTGGAGCAGCGGATCAAGGAGTACAACAGCCAGATCAACAGCAACCTCTTCATGAGCCTGGTACGGGGCCGGTGCAGGGCTGGGGGGGTTGCAGTGCCCTGCCCCGGCCCCACTCACACCCCCTCCGTGTCTCCCAGAACAAGGATGGCTCCTACACCGGCTTCATCAAGGTGCAGCTGAAGCTGGTGCGCCCCGTCTCGGTGCCGGCCACCAAGCGGGTCCCCTCCCTGCAGGCGGGGCGGTCAGGGCTGCGCGCCCAGGGGGTGAAGCGCCGTACGTCCTTCTACCTGCCCAAGGGGACTGTCAAGCACCTGCACATCCTCTCACACACGCGCGCCAGCGAGGTCATCGACGCCCTCCTCCGCAAGTTCACCGTCGTCGACAACCCCCGCAAGTTCGCCCTCTTCGAGAGGTCCGAGAAGGATGAGCAAGGTATCACCCCAGGGGGCCCCTGTCCCCGTAGCAGTGGCCGTGTCCCCGTGGTGCAATGTCCCCAGGTTGGTGGAGTCCCCCATGGTAGTGATGTCCCCCATGGTGGTGGTGTTCCCATGGTAGCAGTGTCCCCCATGGTGGCAGCAGCCTCGTGGCAGTGGTGTCTGACATGGCGGTGGTACCCTCCCTGGCAGCAGTGTCCCCACAGTGGCAGCTTCCCCTGGGCAGCAGCATCCCCATGGTGGCAGCATCCCTGTTGCAGTGGTATCCCCCTTGGTGGCAGTGTCCCCCGTGGCTGTGGGGGTGTCCCCCATGGCAGCAGGCTCCCTTGTGGCAGCAGTGTCCCCCATGGTGATGTCCCCACGGCAGCAGCATCCCCATGGTGGCAGCATCCCTGTAGCAGCAGTGTCCCCCGTGGCAGCGGTGTCCCCATAGTGGCAGCATCCCCATAGCAGTGGTATCCCCCTTTGGTGGCAGTGTCCCCTGTCACCTTGGGCCTGTCCCCCATGGCAGTGGTGGTGATGCCCCCATACTGGCAGCATCCCTGTGGTGGCAGCATCCCTGTAGCAGCACTGTTCATCGTGGCAGTGATGTCCCCATAGTGGTGGTGTCCCTGTGGTGATGTCCCCCGTGTGATGCGTGGCTGCCATTGCAGTGTACCTGCGGAAGCTGGCTGATGAGGAGCAGCCCCTGCGGCTGCGGCTGCTGGCTGGCCCCAGCGAGAAGGTGCTCAGCTTCGTCCTGAAGGAGAATGAGACCGGGGAGGTGAACGTGAGTGCGGGGATGGGGAGGGGACCGGTACCTGCACCCCCTGGGGGACGTGGCCGTGGCGGGGACGATGCCACGTCCCCGTTGCGATGGCAACCCGTGTGCCCACAGTGGGACGCCTTCACGCTGCCGGAGCTGCACAACTTCCTGCGCATCCTGCAGCGGGAGGAGGAGGAGCACGTGCGCCAGCTGCGGCACCGCTACGCCCGCTGCCGACAGAAGATGCAGGAGGCCCTGGCCACGCGCATGCCGGGGTGACAGCGCCAACCACACCCGTGGCCAGCCAACGCGCCGGGACCCTTGCCTGCCGGCAGGCGGGAACACCGGGGAGGGGGGTGGTGAGGGGTGCCCCGGGACCCACTGGGCCATCGCAGCCCCTATGGGGCTGGCCCAGGGAGTGGGTGTCCCTGATGGGGAGTGAGTGTCCCCTGGGAGTGCGGGTGTCCCCGCGGGAACGAGTGTCCCTGGGGGGAAGCAGGGCGTCGAGCACCAATAAAGGCATCTGGGTGACGAGGCTTGGCCTGCGGCGTGTCCTTGGCGGGGCGGGCCGGGCCGGGCCGGGGCCGGCGAGGGGGGGACACGACGACCCCCGGTGCCGCTGGGGCGGGCGTGGTCACACGTGGTGCGGGGCCGCGGCGGGGCTCGAACCCCGGGCCCCCGGGGTCCCCCCCGCGCCCGGGGGGG